CGACCCGAAACGTCAGCTTTCCTGCTCCTCTGATGCTGCTTGGCCTGCTGTGTTCATCCAGCTCTACACCTTGTTATTTCCCCACAATATACTTCATGTGCCAAGTTTTTGTCCACTCAGATTAATAGGAAGAATGCAGAATGACAAATCAGCAGGGAAATTATAGAGGAACATTATAGAATAGTTATAATGAGGAATGTTATAATACAGACTAGAATACTGGTCATGTAAGGGGCAGCAGTTGTGTTTAGAAAAATTTCCTGCAATAGTGTGTGCCCAGTCCAAGAAGAAATAATGCACTGTTGGATGTCGTTCTTGAAAATTAAATGTGCCAAGTGGATCATGTTACAAAGGGAAACATTTAATAGACAGTGGTCAGTGTCTCGTAAGTTTAGGATGATAGCAGAAAATGACAATGGTAGATCCAGCAGAAGAAAAATCAATTGGCAGGGAGTTGACTTCAATGGAGCAAGAGCACAGCTGGGCAGAATAGACTGGACTGAAAGGTTGGTGGCAAAAACTGTAACTGACCAATGGTCTCCCTTCAAAGAGGGGATGGTTTGGTACCTTTTTGAATCCACAGCGTTTGACGGTGGAATGGGAACAGATTTTTTAACGTAATCACTGGAGTAAATGTTGGTCTGTTAGAGCTCCCAGGTGGTGTTTTGGTAAAGCAGTTGCCCATGAAGAAGGACTGTCATTGTGAAATTGGTGGAATCCATTATTAAGGAAGTAGTAATGGGACATTTGGAAAGTCAAAACGCAATCTAAGTCAGAGATAGTAGGAACTGCAGATGCTGGAGAATCCGAGACAACAAGGTGCAGAGTTAGATGAACACAGCAGGCCAAGCAGCATCATAGGAGCAGAAAGGCTGACGTTTCGGGCCTAGACTCTTCATCAGAAGCATGGTTTAATAAAGGGTAAATTGTGTTTTAATAATTTGCTAGAGTTCTTCAAAGATGAAACAAGAAAAATGGATAAATGGGGGTTCTATCGATGTAGTATATCTGGACCTCTAGAGAGCATTTGGTAGGTACTGCACAACAGCACACAAAGTAAGATCACACAGGGTTAGAGATAATATACAAGCTTGGATAGAGAATTAGCTAATGAACAGAAAACGCTGGGAAAACTCAGCAGGTCTGAGCAGCATCTGTGGACAGAAAGCAGAGTTAATGTTCTATTTCCAGTGACCCTCCTTCAGAGTGTTCTTCGGAACTGAATTTCTGTTTTTGTTTCTGAGCTCCAGTATCTGCCTTTTTTTCTGTTTGGGTTTTAACAGAAAACAGATTTGAGATAAATGAGTCGATTTCCTAGTTGGCA